CCTCCCCACCCTCCCAGCCAGGAATTCCTTCCCAATATCCCACCTATCCCTGCCCTCTGGCACTGGGAAGCCATTCCCAACTCAAGCACCCAAGTTTCCATGGTGGAATCTGAGCTGGAGAAATCCCTCTCCAACCTCATGGAGAGCTGGAAAAACGGGAGCTGCCTGATTTTGGACCCTTAATCCCATCCCCCTCCCCCATCCCTACGACTCCTTTCCCACTATTGTATTTTATAGGAAATTTATACTTTATATTATTTTTATATTTTATTAATAATTTATATAATTTTTATTGCTATGTTATTTTATAGTATTTAGTTTAATGTTTTATATGTTATAATTTATTTTTATTATATCTAGTAATTTATTTATTATTATAATTATAGTTATTATTATATAGTTATTATTACTTCTTATAGTTTTTATTCTTTTATATTATTTTGTAGTCTATATTATTTTATATTTTATATTATTTTCCATTTTTATTATTTTCTATTGTTTTATTTAACTTCTTATTATTTTGTATTATTTTTATTGCTTCGTATTTTATTAATAATTTTATTACTTTAGTTAATTTATTGTTTTAGATACTAATGTTATTTTTATCACTAAATTCTATTTTTATTATTTAATTATTATTTTATATTCTTTTTATCAGATTTATATTTTTTATTGTTATTATTTTATTTTTATTATCTATTTAGGTAACATATAACATCTAAGTTTATATAATTATAAGTGTATATATAATATATAATATAATAGTATATAATGTATTATAATATATAAATATTTTATATATAAATATATAAAAATATATATTATGTATTATAATATATAATATATATAATATATTATAATATATAAATATTATGATAATTATAATTAATAATTATAATGTTATATAAATATTGTATAGAATAATATATTATATATATTATAATATATAATATATATTATATTTTATATATAATATATAAGTTTATATATAAGTTATATCATTATATAACTTGGGAGGTTTTTCCACAGATCCCTTTACTGTAGAAAACCAGGATTTTCAATCCAACCCCCCCAGCCTGGGAATCCTGCCCAACTTTTTGCTTCCCCCTTCCCAAAATCTGGGCTCCAACATTCCCTGGGCTCTCCCAGGAAGGAGCTGCTGGGCTCTGGGACCATCCAAACTTGGATTTCCCCACCTCAATCCTTTCCTTTCCCACAGGTACCCCCTGAGGAGAGGCAGCTCCTTCACATTCCTGACTCCAGGACCACACTGGGATTTCACCCTGGTGAGTGGAACAGCCAGAAAAAAAAGCGGGAATGCAGAGGGAAAAGTTCCCGTGTCTGAAAGAGAAGGAAAATCCACCCATTCCTCCCCACCTGAGCCTTCCCAGCTTTCCCAAAGGTGCTTTCTGCCCCCAGGGATTGAGGGCAGGCTGGATATCCTGGGGTTTTCCTTCCTAAATCCTTATTTTCTGAGGTGGGAATGCCATGGGCAGGATGGAAAACACAGCATAGGAATGAAGTGGGGTTTTTTGTTCCTAAAAATCCAAAACTCCGGGTTTTCTTTGGTGTGGAGAAGCTCCCCGGTGCTCTCCTCTCTCCATCCTTTACCATCCAGCCTCTGGAGCTGAACCACTGGAATTCTGTTCAGAATTCCTGCTTCTTGGAGTCTGATCATCCCAGAGGTTTTATTGGTTTCAAAGGATTCCATTGGTTTGAAGGATTCCATTGGTTTGAAGGATTCCACTGGTTTGAAGGATTCCACTGATTTTGAGGATTCCATTGGTTTGAAGGATTTCTTTGGGTTTTTAGGATTCCATTGGTTTTGAGGATTCCATTGGTTTGAAGGATTCCATTGCTTTTAAAGGATTTAACTGGTTTTGAGGATTCCATTGGTTTGAAGGATTCCAGTGGGTTTAGAGGATTTCATTGGATGAGAAGGATTCCATTGGTTTTATGGATTCCATTGGTTTGAAGGATTCCATTGGCTTTGAAGGATTCCATTAATTTTGAAGGATTCCATTGATTTTAAGGATTCCATTGGTTTTGAAGGATTCCATGGGTTTTGAGGATTCCATTGGTTTTGAGGATTCCATTGGTTTTGAGGGATTCCATTGTTTTTGAAAGATTCCATTGGTTTGAAGGATTCCATTGGTTTGAAGGATTCCATTGGTTTGAAGGATTCCATTG